TGTTGTTTAGTCAATCCCAACTGACAGGGAGCTGGTGTACAGCAGAATCACACACTGCCCAGTCCGGAGTCATCCTTTCCATTGGTCCCAGATGGAATCTGTTGTGGCAACGACGAGGTCAATCTTCCTCTTCTGTACTGACCCTGGACTTTCCTGAGCATGATGTCAAGCATGACCAGTCCAAGGACCTCCTGATGACACATCCAAAGTACGTGAGTCAAAACTCTTCTCGTCCTTACTTCTAATGATCATTCTGGCTGTACTTCTTCCAAGACAGATTGGTTTGTTGTTCTGGCAGTCGCATTCTTTGCCTACACCGTCATTCAAAGGCATCGGTTCTGATTTGGTCTTTCTTATTTATTTGACACTTGACAAGCTTTTCTCTGTTTATCGTGCGGTTGCTTGTTGGTCTGGTTGTGGGGATTTTTGTTTTCTGGAGGTTGAGGGGTGATCCATATGGAAGGATTCTTTGCTCATACAACTCTTATCACAATCCACACATACATCAGTTGTGTAAAGCACACTTATACATCCGTTGCCCTTATCATTCTCAAAACTCTCGCTTTTTGCTTGGGCTCCTGGAATCAGCTCCTCATTTTTCTTTATTTTCGTATGAGCCCCAATAAAATGATTAAATTTTTAAAAAGGTATGAGCCCCAATAAAACGATTAAATTAAAAAAAAAGGATTAAATTTTTTTAAAAAGCCCCAATAAAATGATTACATTAAAAAAAAAATTCCTTCTTTGCAATGCTGCGGTGCTGCCTCCTTATTCCAGCAGATGGAGCCAGTGCCACACCTGGTCTTGGACAAGGGTGGGTATATGGTTGTGGGGAGCAAAATCAAGTGGACACCGGATGCAGGCTTGCTGTGGTAAAAGACGAAAGGCCAAATACAGTGGAAGTTTAGGCCAAAGGATAAGCTGTCCAGAAGGGACCTGGAGCAGCCAATGATCCCAAGAATATCTGGGATTCTCAGACAGCTTACTCTTCCTTACCTGTCCTTCCCCCAAGCCTGATCTCCAGCAGGGAGTCTTTGAGGAGAGAAGCAGTTTGGGGGAGAACACGAAACTGGCAAGAGGCCAAGACCACAAGTCAAGATTTCAAATCAGGGTATATTTGGGGAAAACTGAGACCCAGAGAGAAGCATCACCATGAATCAGTGGAAGATCATTCTGGCTCTGAAGAGAGCATGGAGTCTCAGCGCTGCACTCCAGAGTGGGGAATCGTCATGGCTTTAGTCAGACGGGCTGCAGCAGGGACACATTGATGACTGTCTGCCAGGTGGATCAAGCAGGGGGAACGGAGGTCAGAGGTGGGTTCCAGGTCCAGGCAGGCGGTCTTTGGAAAAAAGATCACATCCAGATCTGGATCCGGGGAGGTCAACAGGAGCCTGGGACTTCTCCAGAGGGCAATGAGGATTACAGAGGGGTTTCCACTAAGGAGAGCTACATGGCAATCTTGACTAGTGTGTGGAAGGAACTGGAGGAATCAAACGGAAGATAGAGACCATTGAGGATACTGGTTCAATCATCCAGGCCAGCCCTGGGGAGTGATCATAGGGAGGGGAAGGGAGGAGTTTCGGAAATCGAAAAAGAAAAGACCAAGCGCGCTGGTTACTGATACTGCCGAGCGAGCGAGAGCAAGGAGCCCCGCTGGCCCAGTGGTTAAACACGCCATTGCTAATGTGTCTTGGAGGAAATGTGGCCAGAATGCTCCTGGAGAAATCAGAATGGCAAGACTTTGTTTCACAAGTTTTGGGCCTATTATCAGGAGAGATTAGTCCCTGGGAAAGGAAATCTTATTGGACAAAGCAGACATTCAGCACAAAAGGTGGACTGATGCAGTGGCTGCCAGGAAGGGCTCAAGCGGAACAATGGTGAGGGTGGCATTGGATTGGGCAGTGTGAGGTTCGGTTGCACGGTTGGAAGCGACTCAAGGCACCTAACAAGAACCGGAAGATAGGGAGTTTAAACCCACCCAGAGATCTCTGCACTGGAGAAATCCAGAGATTGACTGTGGTAAAAATGAAGCGAAAACCAAATCGCACCTGCTGCTGTCGAGCCCCTTCTGCTTCGTGGGAACATGATAGGACAGCGTAGAAACCCACTCACATTTCCAAGGCGGCTATCTTTTTTTTTTTTTCCTACTGTGATTGAGTTTATTCTGACAGTAGTGACCTTATCTGGGGTTTCAGAAGCTTGATGTCTTTTTTTTTTTTTTAATTGTTTTATTAGGGGCTCATACAACTCATCATAATCCATACATACATCAATTGGGTAAAGCACATTTGTACATTCATTGTCCTCATCATTCTCAAAACATTTACTCTCCACCTAAGCCCCCAGCATCAGCTCCTCATTTTTTCCCTTCCCTCCCCGCTCCCCACTCCCTCATGAGCCCTTGATAATTTATAAATTATTATTTTGTCATATCTTGCCCTGTCCGA